CACTATGTGACCATCACTCACATATATGATTTTGTCATAGGTTTCAGCATTCGGAAAGTCTAACTAAACAAGGATTAGGATGGCTTGACAACATCAAGAAGGTACACTTGTTGCAAGGTATCCCATAACATGATTACAATGACATTTGCCTACTCGTAATTGCTTTTAAAGTATGGTGTAACTTGTTGCACGGTATAAATTTTACTACTTGTAATTGCTTTTAAAGTATGGCGTAACTTTTGATAACTTGTAAGATTTTGCCTAAACAAGGTATGTGATGTACACCGTGTTTATTGGAACGTATAGCATGTTAGTCATTAATAACATTTATATCAGATGTTTTTACTAGATGGTTATTTGTTCCAATCGCCTATGAAATTGACAATTAGTGCTTATGAGAGTGCATTAAATTAGATAGATAGTTTACTTCAATGAATGGCCAGTACATACATACTTAGTGAATGTACAATCTGATTGAAATAATGTACACCATGCAACCAACCAAATACAATGTGTACAAATTACTGAATATGCGGTTAGTTGTCCACATGCATATTGCAATTAGCTGTTGCAGCCATAACTTGTACTGATTTTTAGTAAATGTTTTTTACTTGTATGAGTAGTACTGATTTGTCTGTAAACACCTTATACAGTGTAATGTATAAATACAATTAGTTTACGAAAATGTACATCATCTTAGGTATTAATTATTTAAATGTGTGTATCTATAAAAGATAGTACAATGGTATGCATACCTTTGGAAAGGTTATTGGTGTTTCGACCAACTTGGGCATCTCCTTACAAGTAGCAGTAGATATGTAATATTACTTGTATGAGTAATACTAATTTGCCTATAAGCGCCTTATACGGGGTGATCTATGAGGTACAATCAGTTTATAAAAATGTACATCATGTTAGGTATTAGTTACTTGACTGTGTATATCTGTGAAAGGTACTGCAATGGTATCTATAACATTGAAATGGTTCTTGGCCTAGATAAGGTGTGATGTACACCATATTTATCAGAATGTACAATCTGTTATTCATCAATACGATGCATAGAAATTGTTAAACATATAGCTATTTGTTCACAAGCATATTGCAATTAGTCAACACAGCAATATGCATATTGCAATGGTATGCATATATTTGGAATGATTATTGATGCTTTGATCCACTTGTGCATCTCCTTGCAGGCTGCAGTGGGTGTGTAATTTTATCTATGTGAATAATACTAATTTGCCTATAAGCACCTTATACAGAGTGATCTATGAGCTACAATCAGTTTATAAAAATGTACATTAGATTAGATGTTAGTTACTTCAATGCGTATATCTATAAAAGGTAGTGCAATTGTACACATAAATTTGAAGCAGTTATTTAGCCATTTGATCAATTTGTACATTTCCCTATAGTAGATGTGTAATTTTACTTATATGAGTACTCTTTGTTTGTCTGTGAGTATCTTACACAAGGTGATTTATGAGGTACAATCAGTTTACAAAAATGTACATCATGTTAGGTGTTAGTTACTTGACTATGTATATATATAAAAGAGAGATTAGATATAACACAGAAAAAATTAGTTACGTGAGTTGGAATGTATTCTACAAACTTTGGTATAGTTGATATTAAAATTTCTCTGTTGAGTGTACATGTTGTTAGTGGATATGCAGTAGTGCTATATGTTATGTACGCTTACATGGTCATAAATTTACAGAAGTTAGTCCATCATTTAAATTTGTAATTGGTTGTTAGCCCATACACACTGTCACATGCATACACATAATGCAAGAATGAATTTAATATATAGTTGTTAATTGGTTACATAGAGCTCATATAGGCATACAAATTGGGGTTTGATTAGCTATACTCTGTATATAATTGTTAACACATTATATCGTATTCACCTTATTTTGCAGCATGTCATAGGCAAAGATAGCGTCTTTTGACAAATCAATGGATACCAATCAATACTGGTGAAGCAAAGACATTAGGTGTGTTTAGCCCATTTTACGATATGTTTAAGGAAATAAAGATTTTTATTTCACAAATTGGTGAAAATTAGTTACATTTGGGGTGCGTTTGTTTGAATGTAAAATGTTCTCCTGAAAATGTTTTCCAAATTTTCCCATGTTTGGTAATCATTTTATCTTGGAAAAAGATTTACGCGGGGAATATATTTTACTTCACTTGGTGGAAAATAACTTCCTCTTTTAACTTACTGAAGTTATTTTCCTTCATTAAAACGAGCGGCTCTTGCACTTCACAATAGAGCTCCCTACTCCCACATTCTAACAAAAACAAACAACGACTTTGCGGCTAAAGATACGGAGAGTGAGCAATGGAGATTGGAGAGACTGAGAAATCACCAACAATATGATCATTTGACAGGTGCCGAACCTGTGCAATAATAATAATAAAATCCTAACTACCACTAAAAGCAGTCAATAACTAATCCTAGGTACTGGAGCAGGGACTTTAGGTGTGCAATGGGTTACTTGATTCACCCTGTTCCCGAAGAGTTTGCTTAACCCGATATACCAGAATTAATTAGTTGACGAAAATTACTGAATAGTAGACAGTGCAAGTAGGGTCGTCTCCTCAGGGACGGAGGATGTTTGTCTCTTTTTAAATGCCAATTGGTAAGGGGGGATTTCACCAGAATGAAACTAAAATCAATTGAATAATTCAACAGAAATAAATAAATAATTGACTAGCACAAATATAGCAGGAGTTAAATCAAGAATGAATAAATTCTAACCAAGGATGCAACTACTCAGGCACAGTCCACTTATCCGATCATTGATGCAAGAGAGATTCACTTAATTTATTAATAAACTAGTTATAGTTGCCGATAAACTCTGACAACCAATTTTTCCTTAAATTATTGATAACCAAGGTACGACCATTGATCACCCCTAACCAGAAAACACTCCTAGGTACGACCATAGGAACTAATTTCCCAATTGCATTAATAACTAGAAAAACCTAACCCTAATCAATAACACGCTACGAGGGTTATTTAAATTAGATCGCGCGTTCCCCTAGTGTGTGAACACACCAGTTGCCACTAATATTATTTAATCAAACAATTACGGATTTAATTGACTAAATTGGCACGAGATTAATAAATCACATTGAACATCGGGCCCTTGACATCCAATTAATAAAATAATCCCATGAGAATACAAGCAGACAATGTGCAAATATTAATAAATTAAGGAACGCGTGAAAACTAATTAGATCTCACAGATTTTCGGGACTGCGCCGTCGAGTTGACCCTTGACTAGATGAAAGGTTTAGCCGCGCCGCATAATTAAATCATCACACGAATTATTGGATTGCAAAGGCATTGCGGTTTTTTTACTAGAAAGCAAGGAATAAATGGTGTTTTTCCCGTTGGGGAATTTTGTCGAACACCTGGCGTGTGTTAGAGGCCAGTCAAAAGAAAGAAAGAAAAGAAACTAAAACTCAACTAAAACTAGAGATATCCTTTGCTTCTGTACGTTGTCCCCTTTTAAAGAGCCAAAAGAAAGATGACTAAAAGCTATCTAGGTGGTCCCCACACATGTGGACAAAGCCTCCAAAATACTTCTTGTTCCAAGTCTCTTTACGTAGCTTTCTTTGAAGAGCCCAAATGACTTATAGCTTTGTGGTCCCCACCAATCCAAGGACCCAAGGATTGAAGCCCTTAGAAGTCTGCATTTTTCCATACAAGTCCCTCCTTTTTGGTAATTTTCTGCTTCACTCCTGAAATTGATTCCAAATACCAAATATGAGTAAATATCAGCAATTAACACAATATTTGTCAGGGATAGAAGGGGAAATCAATAATAAAATTACTAACAAATTATACCCTATCAATTCCCCCCACACCTGAATCATGCTTGCCCTCAAGCATGGGGAAAGTATACAGACACCTAAATTTGATAATGGTCATTGCTCTATCTACCAAATTGTCAAGATATTCAAGAGAGAACCATATATCGGGCATTAGTAATTAAAATCCAAGAAGCATCCCCCCAGTTAGCCTCTAAACCACAAACTCCTTCAATTTCCAAATTAACTAATCTAAGAAAAAGGAATGGCACGCAACATTTATCAGCTAATGGTCCAAATATTCACACAAGTCCCCATATTAAGTCCATAAACCATCAAGCTTCCCTATTATTTATTCTCCCTTTTTTCCCCTTTTTTTTTGTTGTTTTACGTTTTTTCAAGCAATCATAATATTTGACACAAGAAGACTTAGTCTCTAGCCGCCGGAGCCTTTTGACGCGAACTCCAACATTTTTAGATGAAGGAGCCCGGTTACTCAGCCCCTACCGCTATACGACCACGTACTCATAGGAAGTACCACATTTTGACGCGAGAATCGACACTTTTAGGTGCAGATCCCCGGTTACTCAGTAGTGACTAATAGCGGAGTACAGTCCAGATTATTCACAGCCAAACAAAGCCAAAAACACGAAATACCAACACTAACAACTAAGCATAGGGGCAGCTCACCTCATTATTACCAAACATGGAGAACTGGAGTCAATATTGGACCAGTTCACCTTAAAATGCCAACAGTCATTCCCAACGCCTAGAAAAGTTAACAAAAAAATCAAAAGAGCCAAGCAATCCGATATTCACCAAGGAGATATCCTGGATCCAACCATATCAACCCGATACCTTTGTATTTTAAAAACTTGGCAAAAGTAGACTTGGAGTCAATAAGTCCACATCTCAATTTTGGCATTCACATGAAAGGTAAGCACCAAGAAGAAAGAACGAAAACGAGCAACTAGAAATAAAACTAAGAAAAACTACTAAAAACTAAAAACTTATATATATATATATATATATATATTTTTTACTAAAAACGGAAAACACTAGCACCCCCGTAGATCCCCCCCACACCTATAGGACACATTGTCCTCAATGTGACAAATAAAAAAACAAAAGTGAAGCAAAAGTGAGAGGGAAAGCAACCAAACTTCCCTGAACGCGGGTCATAGTGGAGGGCGAGGTGGAAACGGAGGTGCAAAGCCTGTATGAAGCAGAAACTGCGCCAAATTCTGTGCCATGCCGGCGACATTGGCATTGACGTTGACCATGCGAGCCCCCAAAGCCTGAACCTGGAAAATTAAGAAGAGAGGAAGAAATGAACTGAAATCGCGTTTCTGAAGCCTTTATTGGGACACAGAAAACGCGATTTAAAACGCGTCTTCAACTCGCGTTTTCTAAGTCGCGTTTCCTTCACAAATCTCGCAGGAATGAAAACGTGACTGAAAACGCGCCTTCAACTCGCGTCTTCAACTCGCGTTTTCTAAGTCGCGTTTCCTTCACAAATCTCGCAGGAATGAAAACGTGACTGAAAACGCGCCTTCAACTCGCGTTTTCTAAGTCGCGTTTCCTGCACAAATCTTGCAGGAATGAAAACGCGACTGAAAACTCGCCTTCAACTCACGTTTTCTAATCTTGGTACAATACACACTGAAATCGCCATCACGGTGGCGTTCGGACGATTCTGATCGTGAGCTTCCTGCTCGTCATCACGCGGGCGCGTCAAGAGGGAATGGCACCTACAAATTAGGAAAAACGAAAACTAAAACCCAAAATCAGTCGAATTCACGGAAAACATATTTAAACTATCACACGAAATCAAACAAACAATTAAAAGAAACAATTGGGTTGCCTCCCAATGAGCGCCTTCCTTTAATGTCTTTGGCTAGACATAGCCCATCACTCTTCAATCTGGGTGTAACTCAATTTTCCTGGAAATCGGTGACCCTCCTCCAGGATCCAAATAGCCTTTGAGTGCAGCCTTCTTTCTTAATTTTCTACTCCTTTTCACCTCATACAGTGCTTTCATCCCCTTATACTTGTTCTCAGTAAGTTTGAATTTATCCCTACAAGCAAACTCAGAAAATTCTTACACAGAGGGATTAATAGCATGAATAGCAAACACAGGGTGAGAGTTAACAGGATGTTCCATTGTATCGAAAATATTAAAGTGGACTAGTTCTCCATCAAATTCCATGGACAATGTACCCTTATTAACGTCAATTTTTGTCTGTGCTGTGCTCAAAAAGGGTCTACCTAGTAGCAAAGGTGAGGGGTCAGGGGAATGATCATCATCCATGTCAAGTACATAAAAGTCAGCCAGGAATATCAATTCATTAACTTTAACCAGCACATCCTCGACCAACCCATCAGGGTATGCATTTGTTCGGTCAGCTAATTGAATTATTATCTCGGTTTCTTTTAATGGACCGAGATTCAGAGAAGCATACATAGATTTTGGCATTACGTTGATCGATGCTCCTAAGTCCAGCAAGGTATTTCTAATCAGAGTATTACCTATCTTGCATGGGACAGTAAACCTACCTGGATCCCCACACTTTGGTGGTAGTTTTCTTTGGAGAACTGCTGACACATTCTCCCCAACAATAACTCTTTCATCTCCCCTCAGCCTCCTTCGATTGACGCATAGGTCCCTCAGAAATTTTGCATACTTCGGCACTTGCTTGATGGCATCTAGTAGAGGAATATTGATCTCCACTTTGCGAAAGATCTCTAGGACCTCTTTCTCCTTGTCCTGCTTCCTTGGTTTCTCCAATCTGCTTGGGAAGGGAGGTGGGTTGGATCTAACTGGCATGAGTGGGTCCGGGATTACCTTTGAATTTTTATTGTCACCGCCCTCCTCTTCCAACTCTTTTTCAATTCGATCTTCGTCCTTATCCTTAGGAATCACCGGGGCAGGTCCTTGGACCTCCTTGCCACTTTTCAAGGTCATGGCGCTCACATTCTTCGGGTTTAATTCGGGCTGAGAGGGCAATTTACCTTGGTTCTGGGAATCCAAACGGTTGATTGTTGTGGCCATTTGACTTATCTGATTCCTTATGTCCTGCATTTCGGAGTCCGTCCTTTGCTGATTTTGCATAATGGTTGCCTCCGTCCTTTGCTGATTTTGCGCCATGGTTGTCATCATTTGTTTCATCATCTCCTCCAAAGATGGACCAGAGCTTGGGGGCGGAGGTGGTCGGGGTTGGTATTGCTGCTGGTACCCTGGTGGCTTATTTGGCACAAAGTTAGACTGCCTGTTCGGTGTAAAGTTGGGTTGCCTATTCCCTCCATAACTGAGGTTGGGACGATCTCTCTACCCGGGGTTGTAGGTGCTTGAGTAAGGGTCGTACTGCTTCCTTGGCGCGGGCGCGTGGTCAGTCATGTTCACCTGTTCTGTAGTTTCTTCCTGAATCATTGGGCACATGTCTGCAGAGTGACCTATACCAGTGCAAATCCCACATACCTTGGCTTGTGATGCATTTCTCACAGCCAGTTGCCTAACAAACGCGGTCAACTCAGTTAGCTGCTGCTGCATAGAGGGTGTCTCTACCTCATTCACCCTGCGTATTGGAACATCCTCTCTCGTACCGAATTGTTGTGAATTTTCTGCCATCCTCTCTATTAGCTCCCGTGCTTCCTGAGGGGTTTTGTTCACCAGTGCCCCTCCACTTGCAGCATCAATTATGCTTCTGTCTCTGAAAAGGAACCCCTCATAAAAATACTGTATGATCAACTGCTCACTTATCTGGTGCTGGGGGCACCTGTGCAACAAGTTCTTGAACCGTTCCCAATACTCATAGAGTGACTCCCCTGGATGCTGCTTGATCCCACAAATTTCTTTCCTCAGACTTGCAGCCCTGGACGCAGGAAAATATTTATCCAAAAATTTTTTCTTCAATTGGTCCCACGTGGTGATGCTACCTGGTGACAGGTAGTACAGCCAGTCCTTCGCAGAATCTTTCAAGGAGAACGGGAACGCCCTCATTTTTATCTGCTCTTCTGTGATTCTCGGGGGTTTCATACTATTGCACACGACATCAAACTCCTGCAGATGCTTATACGGCTCCTCACCTGGTAAGTCAAGAAAAGAAGGTAAAAGATGAATTAGACCTGATTTCAATTCAAATGAAGTGTTATCGCTCAAACTCGGGAAAGTAATGCATAAAGGCTGCTGAGTTAAATCAGGAGCAGCCAACTCCCTTAATGTTCGTGCATTAGCCATGGTGCCTTCCTCCTCGTCAGAGTCACTCGAAGTGTTACCAAACGAATCTGTTGGTTCAACTTCTGACTCGGGTCTCTGAGATGTAGCACTGGAGTGCTCTTCTCTGAGCTATCTGGTTTCCTTTCTCGTTCTACGCGCGGTCTTCTCTACCTCAGGGGTCAAAAATCAAATCACCTGTATGAGAAGATCGAGGCATACACTAGAGGAAAACCAGAAAATTAGGACAGAAAAAAATGAATTTAAAAAGAAACAAATAATAACTCCAGTCCCCAGCAACGGCGCCAAAAATTGACAGGTGCCGAACCTGTGTAATAATAATAATAAAATCCTAACTACCACTAAAAGCAGTCAATAACTAATCCTAGGTACTGGAGCAAGGACTCTAGGTGTGCAATGGGATACTTGATTCACCCTGTTCCCGAAGAGTTTGTTTAACCCGATATACCAGAATTAATTAGTTGACGAAAATTACTGAATAGTAGACAGTGGCAAGTAGGGTCGTCTCCTCAGGGACTGGGGATATTTGTCTCTTTTTAAATGCCAATTGGTAAGGGGGGATTTCACCAGAATGAAACTAAAATCAATTGAATAATTCAACAGAAATAAATAAATAATTGACTAGCACAAATATAGCAGGAGTTAAATCAAGAATGATTAAATTCTAGCCAAGGATGCAACTACTCAGGCACAGTCCACTTATCCGATCATTGATGCAAGAGAGGTTCACTTAATTTATTAATAAACTAGTTATAGTTGCCGATGAACTCTGACAACCAATTTTTCCTTAAATTATTGATAACCAAGGTACGACCATTGATCACCCCTAACCAGAAAATACTCCTAGGTACGACCATAAGAACTAATTTTCCAATTGCATTAATAACTAGAAAAACCTAGCCCTAATCAATAACACGCTACGAGGGTTATTTAAATTAGATCGCACGTTCCCCTAGTGTGTGAACACACCAGTTGCCACTAATATTAATCAATCAAACAATTACGGATTTAATTGACTAAATTGGCACGAGATTAATAAATCACATTGAACATCGGGCCCTTGACATCCAATTAATAAAATAATCCCATGAGAATACAAGCAGACAACGTGCAAATATTAATAAATTAAGGAACGCGTGAAAACTAATTAGATCTCACAGATTTTTGGGACTGCGCCGTCGAGTTGACCCTTGACTAGATGAAAGGTTTAGCCGCGCCACATAATTAAATCACCACACGAATTATTGGATTGCAAAGGCATTGCGGTTTTTTTACTAGAAAGCAAGGAATAAATGGTGTTTTTCCCTTTGGGGAATTTTGTCGAACACCTGGCATGTGTCAGAGGCCAGTCAAAAGAAAGAAAGAAAAGAAACTAAAACTCAACTAAAACTAGAGATATCCTTTGCTTCTGTACGTTGTCCCCTTTTAAAGAGCCAAAAGAAAGATGACTAAAAGCTATCTAGGTGGTCCCCACACATGTGGACAAAGCCTCCAAAATACTTCTTGTTCCAAGTCTCTTTACGTAGCTTTCTTTGAAGAGCCCAAATGACTTATAGCTTTGTGGTCCCCACCAATCCAAGGGCCCAAGGATTGAAGCCCTTAGAAGTCTGCATTTTTCCATACAAGTCCCTCCTTTTTGGTAATTTTCTGTTTCACTCCTGAAATTGATTCCAAATACCAAATATGAGTAAATATCAGCAATTAACACAATATTTGTCAGGGATAGAAGGGGAAATCAATAATAAAATTACTAACAAATTATACCCTATCATCATTTCTGATGGCAGCCATCTCCAACTCTGGCAAGGTGCCTTGGGTGAGATTCTTATTTAGGGCTTTGTCTTGAATATCTTTTATATTTTTCCAAAAACATCTGATAAAATTGGTTGCTCCAGTCTAGGATTCTATCGATTTTTTTTAAATTTTGTTGCTATAATTCTTGAGAATTGTGACACTAGTTTCACGGAGGAATTTGGATTTTTTTTCTGAAAGATACTTCTTTTGTCTTTAGTTTTCAGTTTTCTTTTTCTATAATTATATGAAGCTCTAGGAATTCTGGTAAAATTTATTGCTCCGCTCCCCTTTTCTGACGATTCTTATTGGGGTAAGGGCTTGAGCTTGCACGATTGTTTTTGTATCAATTGATTGATAGATTAAGAAACTTCAGTAGTTTTTCGTAAATTATCAATCAATTGGTGTCCTTAGAGTTTGATTTTGTCTTTCTATTGAGAAATTTGTTGTTAAATGTATATGGTTGTTATTGATTTCTCTGAGCGATATGAATACTGAATGTTGGGATTTCTTGTCTGGAGAATTTAAATTTTACGATTTATGTTTTGGGATTGGGGTTAAGGTTAAGCTGTTAAGACGTTCGCAAGGTGTTTAGAAATGTTTTCTGCTTGAGCCGAACAATATACTCAATTCTATTTTGTTTTTTCACACAGATCTAGATTTTCACTTCTCAATTTGGAGAGTCTAGGCTATTACTCATGCTTGAATCTTTTAGTATGACTGCTCAAGTTGCTAAGGATAAGATGTTTTCCATATTGGTAGTTGTACCATTAATTGGAAGGCCACCTTGCTACCTATTGTTTTGTTCTGTAGTATCCAATATTTAGATATAATTTGAGTTTGTGATTCTTTCCTTTATTGTAGGAATTCTTGTTCAATTTGCTGACTGGAATAATTCGATGTTGAGTTTGGTAATTAAAGCTTTACACTTGTTATAGTCTTTGCAACCTAGTATGTATGCTTTTCCCTATTCTGTTGTTTGCAAGTATATAGTGTCTACTTTTAACTAACCAAAGTTGGCCTACATATTGCAAGACAAAACTGCCTTGAGCACTCTTGTATGGAGCCAAGAGAAGCTGAAATCATTATTCTGTGTGGACGTTTCTTTTTATTGGTTAAATAGTTTTGTGATGGATAATTTAAGTTGCATAATGATCTAGCTCGGTCTTCAATGGCAAGCTTTCCCAACCATTTCAACGGAGTCTCGAAACACGCAGATTTTACTTTAGGTGAATACTTTTTTGGTTTATTTTTTCTAAAGATTCTTAAACATGTAGGTTGCAACTTTTTTGAATGATCCATAATTTGTTGTCTTAGTCATGTAGAAGAATGGAAGGCATAAACAGGTTGCCCTTTTGTTTTTTCTCCTTTACTTGTGCATCTTGATAGCTGAACAAGGGGACGTACAATGGCAGTATTTGCTTTTCTTCTTTCTTTTTTGTTCCCTCTTGGTGTGTTTGTGAGTTTTGGTTTGGTCTGAACTCTTTAAGATATTTAAGTTTTTAACTGGTACTAGTTGATTTAGATGGTGAAATATCTCATTTCTTAACTGGTACAAGTAATATGGTATACTTGATCCATTGAATGCCATTAGCTTGTTGCTTTGGATGGTAAAATCTTATTGGAACAAATCCTAAATTTGTTGAATAAGTGTCTTGTAATACTATGTAGAACAATTGAAGTCATGGTGAGTCCATCAAGATGTAGGACTGACATCATGAATTAGAAAGTGAGGTTCTCTAGTATCTTAAATATTCATTCAGTTGCGCATATACTCTTCTGGGATTAGGGAGAAGAAAGAAGAGAAAGGAGAGAGTGTGTGTGTCAAAAGGTAAACAATAGAAAGGAATGAAATGCTCATCATTTTGAGTCAAATCAAAAAGTTTGTTTTCTTTTCTAATCATCCAGATACTTCTGTTTTCCTTTCTTTATGGCCACTGTGTTAGTGCTTCATTTTTGCGCATCTTGCATATGTATTACTTATTTATTTTAAATTGTGAATGAAACAATCAAGTGAAGATTAAGTTTGTGTGCTAATATTATGTTACTCTGATGCTTTTTTCCCCTTGTTTTAATTTTGTAGAGACATACATAAATAGTGGATTATCCTAAAAGAGACTGCA